TATATATATATATATATTCCAAGTTGAAACTCTCCTTTTCTCTTTTTTGATCTTGATTGAAAACTTTGTACTATAAAACATATTATTAAAGCTTTGGCTAAAATAGACTAATCCCATATTTACAGGATTTGTTTTTGCCATGGATCAAATCAGTGTGACTTTTTTCCTTGATAAGTGTGTGTTATGCAGCTGTTCTGCTCTCAGTACGGGCAACTTATTTCCAAGTCATAAATCAGAATCCACAGTCTAATAGAGGGATTATTTTGATTTTCACACTTATTTATATATCTCATCAAGATGTAAAAAGTAAATTGCATTTAGATATGCAGTTATACATACATGTTTATCTGAAATTATAAAATCACAAAACTAGAACTGTCCTTGAGATCCAGGACACCTGGTTGCTCTAAGGATGCCACTCATGGTTACCATGGTGGCCAGGCATATGAGTGGGGCTTGCTCACTGAGGATCTATGGGACAGAGAGACGAGCTGGCAAGTTTTCACATGTGGTACATCACTTCTTTTTCTCATTCAACTGTTATATGACAAATGATAGTAATCATCACATGAGAATGTTCCCTGGTTCCTTAGAATTACAAATTATGTCCCTATCCAGTATTTCATGTGACCCGCACAACTAACAGTAGTAGAAGCAGAATATTGCTCTCAGTTGTCAGTGGGGAAATCAAAGTGCAGGGAAACTAGTATAATTTGCCTGGGGCCACCGCTAGTGCGTAAAGCTCAGCCCAGACGCGAACCCAGTGCGCTTTCTCTCCCCCTTGTTCTTTAACTGTACAAAGCCAATATGAAGGTACTGGGGCTGTGTCGCACAAGCTCGTAGACTGCTCTCTTTTTTGTTTCATACTTTCTCGTGATGAAATGCTGGCCCACTAGGAGGAGCTTGCTCTTGAAAGGGATGTGCTTTTCCTTCCAGGTGGCCCACTAACACAAATGAGAAACCAGAAACAGACAACTGGGATGCATGGGCTGCCCAGCCCTCCCTGACCGTTCCCAGCGCCGGCCAGTTAAGGCAAAGATCGGCTTTTACTCCAGCTACGGCCACTGGCTCCTCCCCGTCTCCTGTGCTAGGCCAGGTAAGGGCAGGCAGTGACAGTGGCACACAGCATGCTGTGCAGTGCCAACAGCTTCAGCAGGTGCTCGTTGGCAGTGTCATTTAGATGTCAGCCTCATTATGTAGATTTGGGCTTGGGTTCCTGGCAGTACAGGATCTCTTCAAAACCTGACATATACTGTGAATGTCTGGAATTCAGAGATGGGTAAGCTTCTCCAGCCTGAGTTGACCAGAGAAGGTTCACTGAAGAAATAGCACTTCAGCTACATCTTGACCAGTGGGTAAGATCTTACCAGAAAATGGAGAGGGCTGGCATATCAGACAGAAAATGCAATGAGGAGAGGCTTTAAGGCAGAAAATCAGATAGCATTTATGGAAAATCCTGAGTCGATTCATTTGGCTAGACCATGGAGTATTTACTGGAAAAGACAGACTACATGTTAATGGTAAGTTCTGAAATGCCCTACTAAGAAGGAATACTTTCTGAAGGGATAAAGGTGGCTATTTCTCTTTGACTTAATACAATAAAAATAATAGGATTGGGAACCAGCAGTTAGCGTAATGGCTATGTCGCTGGATTCTCACGTAGTCGACCACGGTTCGTGTCCTGGACCCGGTGGCTTAGAACTCATGCCGGGCGTGTGTGCGTGCGTGCCCAAGATCCCGAGAGGAGAATGGAGGAGAAGGGATTGCGGCGTGACCATCCCCCCTGGGGGGTGATTTCTCGCTTTCTGTCTCTATGTTTCTCTCTGTCTGTCTGGCGAGCGCACGCGCCCTACAGCGAAAACCTCTAAAAAAAAAAATAGTAGGATTAAATTTCTGTAAGAAAGCAATCAAACCAAACAGGAAATGCCCATCTGGAAGGCACTAGAGGGTCCGGGACTATTTCTGATCTGGCAACACCAAATTGAATGCAGGCTCCAGGCAGAGTAACCTGGAGACCATACACAGGAATATTAGACAAGAGTATGCACACTGTCCGGATGCCAGCTCTGTGGCTGATGCTGTCATCCAGGTGAGGGCAAGAAAGGCTATACTCGGCCTAGTTCACATTTACCAAGTAGGGAAGTGCCAGTGGAGAAGGAATGAGGGCCTATTGTCAGTAGGGAAGTCAGCAAAAGTGGCCAAGAGGATTAGATAGTGCAGAAGAGCTGTGTGATCAACAGCAATGAGTGTGAGGTCTACTGCAGAGGGGAAAATGGAAGCATGTGCAATCCTGTGGGTGTTTGAAATCCAAAAAGATGTTAGTATTGAGGGCCTTGAAGGAGTGGAATAGAAGGAAATAAGAATTTTATAGGTTTAAGTAAAACCCATGAAGACCAGGACTTAGTGGGTTATCAACAGAGATGCTAGAACTGTTTGACCTGTTAGAAATTAACTTCAAAAGGCAAATACATGTTGGTTCTGAATGAACTCTCTGTGGACATTACTCTTTGTTCCTGTGTATGTGTATGATTGACATTTTTGTTTGTTTGTTTGTTTTTAGTAAATTTGTAAAGATATGATGAAGGCTCTATGCTATGTTTTTTAAAAAGATAATAAATGCTTCACCCTGCCTTTCTAGCCTCAGCTCCTCCACCCCTCCATGAAACTAGGCCGCATGCAGCCCTGGCTTGTGCTCCTCTTCCCGGACCCTTGGCAGTGTTCCACCCCGAGACCTTTGCCCATGCTGTGCCCAAGGCCTGGAGTGCCCTACCTCCGAAGTCCTAGCTGTCAAAATCCTTCAAGGCCCAACTCAAGTGCTGCCTCCTCCGTGACATTTTTTCCAATGCTCCCGGGCAGAAATAAGCCCTCTTTTCTCTGTGTTCCCAACATGAATAGTGGGAACTTCATTTTGGCGTATATCATTCTGCCAGGTGGTATCCTTGGTTGCTTGTATCTCTCTTCTCCATTCATTGTGAGCTCCTTGCAGAGTCCATCACACTGTCCATTTTTATAGTGCTTTGTGGTTAATAAACTTCTTTACCTTAAATTATTTTGGGAAGGCAGAGATGTTTTCTTCATCTTCGTAATCTCACAGTACCTTGCACATAAATATACGATGAATGATAATTACTAGCAATTTATGCTATCCGAACTCTGTTTCTCTAAAGAGAAACTAGAACAAACACCATCCAAAGTGAGGCATGTTTCTCCATGTCCACCTAAATGAAAATATCAGTTAATTATCTCATAGAAATTTCATAAAGTTTCTGGTTAGTCTTCCACTGAAAATCCAAATTGGATAGGAAATAGGGAGAAGCCCTGGTCAATTTGAGAGTAAAAATAGAACTGAAATATAAAAGGCATACAGCCAGGCACAAAAAAATAAATTGGACCCCCTGGTTGGTGGAAATAGAGCCATCTGATGGCCAGAGAATGGCTTTGTCAATAGGTTGGCAGCATTTTGCCTCCACGTGTGGAAATAAACCATTTTTGAGAACAGTGAAGTACCTAGCACTCGTGCCACCCTGAAACAGGGTCCTCTGTGGCTTCGTGTGTACTCGTGTGTGTGGATTGGAGAGAAGGTGTTCACGTGTGCGCCTGTGTGTGCTGATTGGAGAGAAGGCGTTCACTTGTGCGCTCGTATGTGTGGATTGGAGATAAGGTGTTCACGTGTGTGCTCGTGTGTGCAGATTGGAGAGAAGGCATTCACATGTGCACTCGTGTGTGCGAATTGGAGAGAAGGTGTCCACGTGTGTGCCCATGTGTGCGGATTGGAGATAGGGCATTCACATGTGCATTCATGTGTGCGGATTGGAGAGAAGGTGTTCGCATGTGTGCCTGCGTGTGCGGATTGGAGAGAAGGCGTTCACATGTGCACTCGTGTGTGCAGGTTGGAGAGAAGGTGTTCACGTGTGTGCCCGTGTGTGTGGATTGGAGAGAAGGCATTCACGTGTGCACTTGTGTGTGCGGATTGGAGAGAAGGTGTTTGCATGTGTGCCCACATGTGCAGATTGGAGAGAAGGCGTTCACATGTGCACTCGTGTGTGTGGGTTGGAGAGAAGGCGTTCACGTGTGCACTCAAGTGTGCAGATTGGAGAGAAGGTGTTCGCATGTGTGCCTGCGTGTGCGGATTGGAGAGAAGGCGTTCACATGTGCACTTGTGTGTGCAGGTTGGAGAGAAGGTGTTCACGTGTGTGTGGATTGGAGAGAAGGCATTCACGTGTGCACTTGTGTGTGCGGATTGGAGAGAAGGTGTTTGCATGTGTGCCCACATGTGCAGATTGGAGAGAAGGCGTTCACATGTGCACTCGTGTGTGCGGGTTGGAGAGAAGGCGTTCACGTGTGCACTCAAGTGTGCAGATTGGAGAGAAGGTGTTCGCGTGTGTGCCTGTGTGTGCGGATTGGAGAGAAGGCGTTCACATGTGCACTCGTGTTTGCGGATTGGAGAGAAGGTGTTCGCGTGTGTGCCCGTGTGTTTGGATTGGAGAGAAGGCTTTCACATGTGCACTCATGTGCGGATTGGAGAGAAGGTGTTCACGTGTGTGCTTGTGTGTGTGGATTGGAGAGAAGTGTTCACGTGTGTGCAGATTGGAGAGAAGGCGTTCACATGTGCACTCTGTGTGTGGATTGGAGAGAAGGTGTTCGTGTCTGCCTTAATTGATAACAAAACCACAATGTAACGAGAGGTCCTTCCTGTTATTCTACACAAGGGTGAAAAGGTGGAAGGGCTCCAAGCACAAGCCCTGTATCCTTGGAGAGCCAAAAAAGACAACCATTTAAATTTTAACAAAAATGATGTCATCACCGTCCTGGAACAGCAAGACATGTGGTGGTTTGGAGAAGTTCAAGGTCAGAAGGGTTGGTTCCCCAAGTCTTACGTGAAACTCATTTCAGGGCCCGTAAGGAAATCTACAAGGTATTTTTGTGTTTATCTGTTTCTATTTAATGAAAACAATATTAGACACTAAATGACTATTTGTACTAGATAGGGTCCATGGATAGAAGTGGCAGGAGTCTTTTGTTTTCCAGACCTTTTAACTGTTAGAGTTCGAGTATAGGAAGTACAGAAAGGGAGCTTCTTAGAAGTAGAATGGTCATTGTCTTCTCTCTGGGAAGCCTATGTAGCTTGTATTTTATTGACTTACACCTGAAGGAATTCTACTCTGGGACCTGGAACATTCCATGTTGTTTGGGGATTATGACTGCCTTTGTGCTTAGTCCCCAATACTATCTCAGATGTATGTGAATACTTAGAAGCCCGAACAAAAATTTGGGAAAATTACTAAAAGAGTGACTTCTCTTTTTAGTTAGAGTCTTATGGCACAGGACCTTAACAGGATTATTGTTTAATTATTTCAATCCTGTAGATGTTTAAAACAAATTTTGAGCTTTAAGAAGATAAAAATGGCAGAAATACTCAGTGAGCATCTATTGGTTTTGCTTTGAAGCAGATCGGTACATGGGCTGTATGTCCAGCATAGCAGAGTGCTGAGAAGCAAGGGAGCCTCGGCAGCACCTTGTTCCGTGTTGTTGTTAACTCAAGTACAATTTCAGCTGTGGGTTGTTCCGTTTTAAAAGTGAAGCAGTTTTAAAGCAGAAAAAGCAGGGACCAGCAGTTAGCGTAATGGCTATGTCACTGGACTGCCATGTAGCCGACTGCAGTTCAAGTCCCAGAACCAGTGGCTTAAACTCACACCAGGTGTGTGCATGTGCATGCCCAAGATCCCAAGAGGAGAAGGGATTGCGGCGTGACTATCCCCCCTGGGGGCTGATGTCTCTGTCTTTCTGGTGAGCACACACACCGTATAGCAAAAACCTCTCAAAAAAAAAAAAAAAAGACAACAGAAAAGACAGTATTATTTGCATTATTATCTTTTAAGATTAAAATTATTAGTAAATAGAATTGAAATACTCTTCTTCCCTTCTTTCAGCATGGAATCAGGCTCTTCTGAAAGTCCTGCTAGTCTAAAGAGAGTAGCTTCTCCAGCAGCCAAGGCAGCCGTGTCAGGAGAAGGTGAGGACCTGGGTGCCACTGTGTGCTTTGGAGGGTTGAGAATGATATGCAGTTCATACAGGAAATGTCTGGAATGGGATCGGATTTCATTTTAAAGTAGTCTTTATTAATTTATGATGAGTGTATAAATTCCAAGGTAAAATGAAAGTTTAGTTCTGTATAAAATCCAACACATTATGGAGACTTTCAAAATCCTATCAGATGTTCTAATCATCTAAAACTGAGCTTGCTAATTATATTTAATTGTAAGCCCTTTGACTTTTGAAAGAGGCCCATTCATTTCATGAAGAATCAAGTTTTGTGAACATCTCTAAATAAATTGTGGTCATTGCTTCCCCTAACACGGTCGAGTGTCATCTGACTGACATATTGATAGATAAGCATTTTGTTTCAAAACTAACCACACAGTCCAGTACAGCTCTCCTAGTAACACAAGTGCCATCTGTTCCTTCCCAAATGGAACAGAAGCTCAGTCTCCATGCTTCGTGTAAATAATCAACCCAGATTATTTAGGCCTAAGAATTCATTTTGAATGTTTATTCATAAGTAATTAATTGCTTTCTTTCCTGGTTTCTACTTTGTGACATAATTCTAAATATTATATAGATACCAATATATAAGATGAGGTATTATATTAAATTTTTTTAAATGATCAATACCTACAAATTCAGGCCCTAATAGTAAAAACTTTCATGTCTTTTCCTATATTTGGTACAGTCATTGTCATGGTAGTCACTGGAGGGTGCTACCTGAATTAGACAGGCTTTCCATGTAGAAGTCTGAATGGTGTTTGTAATTAACAGATATCTTAACTAGCCAATGGTAAAGCAGGTTTTTCATCGGTTTCTTGAATAAATCATGAGGATAGATTGTTTTATTTAGTTTGCTTGCCGTAATGAGATTGTTTCATTCCTTAGAAACCTTGCCAAGTGAAAAGTAGAATTATTAATACTGTGTTTCAGAGGAGACAGTCAAGATTAAGGTTTAATGACATTTCACACTCACAATATCAGCATTTCTTTTTCAAGAATAATCTTAGAAATTAAAAAATATTATAAATATAGCTAATAAAACTCATCAATGAATAAATCTAATATTTTACTGTACCCAGCTTTTTATGTTATCATGAAAACAAGTATTATTATTCCCATTTATCTTAATAAATTTGTTACCCATTGTGAAAACTATGCAAAAACCCTTTTAAATACAACATGTGCAGTCAGTAAAATAAAAATTATGCCCTTTCCCCCCTAAAAAAGAAAACACAAACAAATCTTCCTCACTCCAGAATTTGTATCCTGGCCCTCCTACCTAGTACCCATTATAGCTTTGGCTTCCTCGTCAGTAAAGTGGGCATAATAACCACCCCTTTGGGTGGAAAATTAATTACTGAGATTGAGATGATATGTGCAAAGCTTTTAGAACAAAACTCAGTAAATGTCTGCTATGTTTTATTTCCTTTGGCTTTATTTCCTGGATTACTGATAGAACCACTTAGGGCCACAAGCATTCTCATCAAACAGCAACGTAGAGGAATGTTTATTTGTTTAGAGACATGTACTGAGGCCTCAACACTTGGGACCTCAATAGATAAGCCACAGACAAACCATACATATACTTAAAACTGGGTGACAGACTGGAGTTCACGTCTGATCTTAATTGGTTTTTATTACATCCACTTTAAACTGACTTAGGTAGTAGAAATATTAGGAAAGGTTACTGGCATTATGGAGGGGTGTGGAAATTCATTCTGAGAAAAGCTATTAACCTGTATCAATGAGCCTCTTGTTAATACTGCACTGAACAAAAATCAAATTTAGAGTGAACTGCAAGCCAGATTAAATAGATAATCAGTTTGAGTAGCTCTTCCAATACTGGTTTGGGAATGGCCTGTGCCTCCTGAGAAGTGTCTTACGAGAAGGGCGTCAGTGATGAGGGCCCTGAGCACGTCCATCGTTGTGTCTCTGGGTTTCATTGTCGCAGATGCCTGGGTGCAGAGCAGGGCAAGCAGAGCCTCACAGTCTTTCCAGTCTCCTTTCTACTGCCACATTAAGTTCAGCCAGAGTTCATGGTTCTGAAGTCTCTTAAGCACTTTCAAAGTTACTCCAAAATTTGGATCCATTTTAAAGAAAGTGACGTTTAAATTGAGGAATTACTGGGGAAAGTATTGATTGCCAAAGATCCTATCATAAGCAGCCAAATACAAATTAAAGAACAGCAACAGGCAGCAAAATGAAAAAGGAAGGGTCAGAATATTGAGAAATTTAAAAAACAAGTATATTGACCAAAGAAAAGAATGTCCTTACTAAAGCCACCAAACTTTGACTTCCTTGTGTGGGAAATCACTTTTCCAGTTTTAATTGTGGGGGTATGTGTTCCCAACACTGGAGGACTGAAACAGAGAGAGCTCTGTTCTCCCTGGAACATTTGGATGACCCTGCGCCTGCTCCAGGCTCTATCACCCTCCACGGCAGTTGCGGCTAGCCTCAGCAAACCCATCGGCACTGTGAAGTTAAACGAGGCCGTGGTTGAGCTCTCAAGCCGCCGCCCATGTGAGCACAAGAGTTAGGGAACTTTTGATTTGTGTGTGTTTGAGTTAATTTCCATCAGTACATCCTGCAAAGGCTCTTAACATTAGCCACTAGAGTCCTCCATACTAAATTTCTGTCTCTTAATCAACATTAATCTCTGCATTTAAGGAATATCATCTAAAGTTTTAGTGAGAAATATATGAACATGAACTTTGTGGATAAATCATTACTTTTTAAATTATATGCAAAGGCCAAGGACAAAATAGAGGAAAAAATGGAAATAGAAATCTGTACATCCCTGTGGAAATCTTTTATCCTGCACTAAGTGTAGAGTCTAGGATTTTGTATCTAATGCTCTTTCTAAGAGTATGAGTTCCTTCTAAAATGAAATCTTAGTAAAAATCTACTAAGAATAATGCAGAGTTCTACTTAAAATCAAAAAAGAAAGATTTCATCCAGAATGAACACATTACAACTTCAAGACACAAAAGAACATGAGTTCTTAACCTTTAAGACTAAGTTAGTTATGTGAATAATAATATGTAATAAACTGTAAATGGTCTTTTCAACTTGTTGAGAAAGGCCTAATTGTTTTCTGGGATGGGGTACATGTTACGTTTATCAGTTGTTCACTCTACCTGTTTATGTACTTGAATGGCAAGTAGATACCCATTTTTAACTAAAGAATACATACATTTTGTTTTGTGTCTTAACAGCTTCGTTCCATCTGTGTATATGGCACAGTAGGACATACATACATTTTTCACTCAGGCACTTGAGTGATGAAAGTGTTTTAGTTTACATAAAGAATATACTTAAATCAAAAATCTCTCTAAAATCCTATCTATGGTACCCTCCAAACTGAATTACAGATATTTCATGTGTACAGCAAGATTCTGCATATGAACGCATCTGACCCAGTGCTTAGCACAAAGCAGACACTCAGTAAACGTTAGTTTAAACTAAATGTAAAAAACATTTTCATTTTAAAATAAATCCTGTTGCTAAATCATAAATCACCCTTGGTCCTCAGTGTTGTAAACGTGTGGGTTTTTTGTTCCTATGGCCAGATCTTCACAGGAATGGTCTCCCTATCTGTAGTTACAGAATGTTATGGGCAGCTGGAGGGTATTTGGAGGCCAAGGGGTTCTGCAGCTCTGTTTTTATCTGTGACTAGCCTTTCTCTTGAATGGATCTTATCCTAACTTCCTTATTCATAAACTTGCTTTTGCAAAGCTGTCTGGGATTTCTTTAAACAATCAAGCTCTCTCCGTATCTCAATATTTCTCCCCACCAGAATTTATTGCCATGTACACTTACGAGAGTTCTGAGCAAGGAGATTTAACCTTTCAGCAAGGGGATGTGATTTTGGTTACCAAGAAAGATGGTGACTGGTGGACAGGAACAGTGGGCGACAAATCCGGAGTCTTCCCTTCTAACTATGTGAGGCTTAAAGATTCAGAGGTAAACCCACATTAACTGTTTCCTCTCCCTTTCTGTGCGGTGCTTCTCTGTGGGGAGTCATGATGTTTGACGGTGGAACACTCTGTTGGGTTTTATTAAGTTCTGGGACATGACAGGAACTATGGTGTGACCTTGTCATTGGTGCTGCAGGGTAAGCGCTGGTTTCCATCAGCAGAACTCCCTGGGGCTAAGTGGAGGCAGCATGGAATGAACAGGACTAGTTTGTCAGTTGGAATAATAATATTCAGTATTAATCTATGTCCTGCATGAAATAGGATTTGGAGTAAACTTTCTTGATTAGGTCTTCGTGGTCATTGTTTTTATGTTCTAAGAAAAATACAAGCAGTTATTTTACCCACATAAGCAAGAGGATTCTGTTGATACTGGGCCCAGAATATTGGGCAGTAGGAAGTTTCTAAAACTTGTATGTGTGTCTACACAATAGAAAAATAGAAGATCTAAGAGGTACACCTGTGATTAGTTAGGCCTTAGTATCTCTGTTGATCAGGGACTGAATTTCTCTTTTCTTTCCTTTTTTTGAGAGATTTTTGCTGTAAGATGCATCTGCTTGCTAGAAAGACAGAGACCTGACAAAAAACAAGAAATCACCCCCCCGGGGATATGACCATGCCACAATCCCTTTTCCTCCATTCTTCTCTTGGGATTTTTGGGCTTGCCTGCACATGTGCCCAGCATGAGTTTCAAGCCACTGGGTTTGGGACTCAAACCACCATTCACAATGTGGGAGTCTAGTTCCTTAAACACTGCACTACCTGCTGGTCCCAGGGACTAAATTTATTTTAAATGCTGTTATTCTTATGAATTGAAAATGGCTCTCATGGTTAGATAGAGGCTGTAAAATGTGGTCTTGAGATAGAGCAAGTGTAGTGAAAGGTGGATGGGCCTACCACACACTATGGGAACCTGTCTGGTAGTGATCAATTTCAAGTCAGGATACCAGTGGCCAGTGTAGTTCATTAACAGATCTATTGCACATAAATAAGCCAATAGGAACTGGCTCTTCTTTTTTTTTTTTTTCCCCAAGCATTGACAGTTAATTCAGTTATTTTCTTTTTCTTTTCATACCTCCCTGGAACTGGGAGAGAAAAGACTGGTAAAGAACCTATAGATGCCATTTTTTGGGGTGTAAGCAAGTGGACAGAACTTAATCTCTCTATTTTAAACACTAGGAGGAGTGTGTGGACTAAGCTTTTTTTTTTTTCTTTTTTTTTGAGCAGAGGTTTTTGCTATAGTGCACATGCATTCACCAGAGAGACAGAAAGTGAGAAATCACTCCCCCAGGGGGGATGGCCACATCACAATCCCTTCTCTCAGAATCTTGGGCATGCACGCATGCGTGCCCAGCATGAGTTTAAGCCACCAGGTCCAGGACTCGAACCACAGTCGACTACATGGGAATCCAGCGACATAGTCATTATGCCAATTGCTGGTCCCATGGACTAGCTCTTCTGAGGCTCCTGTACTTGTGGCTGTTCTTGGGGTATAGCTGGGTCTGATGACTCTTACAGGAGTTCTCTGCCACCAGCCAGAGAGAAAGCAAGAAATCACTCCCCATGGAAGATGCTCTCACTGCAGTCTCTTGACTCCATTTTCCTTTCATTGGTTATGCATGCACACACTCCCAGGGTGTTGTTCAAACCATCACATATGGAACTTGAACCACACAGTTAGCCATGTGGGGTCCAGCCACCTTAACCACTGTGCCACTGACTGGCCACCCAGGAATAGTTTTCTTTGTTTGGGTTTTATGTTTTCTTTCTTTTCTTTTTTTTTAAGAAGTGTCATTATTGTTGCTTTGTTTTTTCTTGCTGGGGTCTTGAGAGCAGCTTGCTGGAATTCCCCCAATAAATTGCCTAAGTCTGACCACCTTTGAAAAATTGAGCAGAAGCCCAGAAGAAAGTAACTTTGCCCTGTAAGACAGCAGGCATATTGGGGTCTATAGACCTGGAGAGGAAGAACAATTCTTCTCTGACAAACAGATTGGATCCGATAAGAATCATATAGCTAATATTTGAGGAGGGTGGGAAGGGAATACTAAAAACTAAACTTGATTTGAACTACCCTGTGTGAAAACTCTTGAAATGACTTTACTTTTTGGATCAGCTAAGCATTATAGTAATTATGTTATGTTTTAATAAATTATACTTATCTATTAAAATCTGAAGTCAATAAAAAAAAAAAAAGCCCATGGTACTTTTAAAAGATAAACTGAGTTGTGAGGTGCTTTTTTGTTTGTTTTTTATTTTTAGGTTTTTGCCATAGGGCCTATACACTCATTAGAGAGAGACAGAGAGTGGGAATGTGAGAAATCACTCCCTAGAGGGGATGGCCCATTGCGATACCTTGTCCTCTATTGTCCTCTTGGGATTTGGGGCACACAAGCACATGTACCTGGCATGATTTTTCAAGCTGCCAGTCCAGGACTCAAACCATGGTCAGCCATGTGGGAGGCCAGCGCCTTAACCACCATGTCACCTCTTGGTCCCATAAGGTGCTTTCTTTTTTTCTTTTTGAAAGATTTTTGCTATAGGGCACTTGCACTCACCAGAGAATCAGAGAGACAGTGAGAAATCACCCCCCAGGGGAATGGCCACACCGCAATCCCTTCTCTTCCATTCTCCTCTCAGGATCTTGGGCACGCACACACCCATGCCCAGTGTGAGATTTACTTATTTATTTCATTCTATTTGTTATTATTTTTTAACTTGACCAGAAAGAGACAAAGAGAGGGATCAGCAGTTAGCATAATACAATTAGCATAATGGCTATGTCACTGGACTCCCATGTAGTCAACCGCAGTTCGTGTCCCAGACCCGGTGGCTTAAAACTCAAGCTGGGCATGTGTGCGTGCGTGCCTAAGATCCCGAAAGGAGAATGGAGGAGAAGGGATTGCAGCGTGGCCATCCCCCCTGGGGGGTGATTTCTCACTTTCTATCTCTCTGTCTCTGTCTGTCTGGCGAGCACACATGCCCTGTAGCAAAAACCTCTCCAAAAAAAAAAAAAAGAAAAGAAAGAGAGAGAGAAAGGGAAAGCGCAAAAGCAAGCCATCATATCTGGACCTCGAACCATGGTCAATGTGGGAATTCAATGCCTTTATCCACTACGCCACCTGCCAGCCCCCCACCTCACCCTATCCCTCCCATGTGAATTTTAAGTTGCTAGGTCCAGGACTTGAACCATGGTGGGAGTCGAGCAATGTAACATTTGATCCATCTGCTGGTCCCATAAGGTGCCTTCTTGGCATGAGTCTTAAATTCTTAACTTCAGGAGAACTAAACATTTTTAGACATTTAGCTATATTATTTAGTAATAATGAAAAAAACCTAAAAGTAACTCTCATCCCAGTTGGATACAGATTTTAGTGTGTAAGAAAGTACCCTACCAAATTCAGAAGCCATACCCCAGCATCAGATCCCAGACTTGACTCGTGGGCGCAGAAGGGGTTGTCTTGTCCTCTTCCCTCCCCGTGTGAGAAAACCTGGGGTAGCTGTACTGTGGGCGCAGCCAGGACAGAACCTGACCTTCTGAGCATGTCCTCGGTGTTGGTGACGGCTGTGGCTTTTCAGAGGGAGCACACTGAAGCTGCTGGAACTCTATTGTTGGAGAGTGCCGGTTGCTTTGTTTTTTATAGACTATGGGCAGTGTGTTAGAAACCTGTACTGGGAAAGTACGGTAACTGGTCACTTAGCATCTTGTTTAATTCTCATTCCTTTATTTGATTCTAAGCCTATAAAAATAGCAAGAGAGAGTAGCATTGTATAACTTGGTTCATTAATGAAGAAAGCATAATCAGTGTAAAACTTTTCCTGGTAAATGGTTATTAAATTTCAACAGCCAAAATAAAGAGACTATGATAAGTTGCATTCCTGGTAGATAAATTGTTTTTATTCTTATAGTAACTGTCATTTAGTTTATTGAGCCTTTTGTTTTGTTTTAATTAGAATGCTTAATTTACTGCCAGATAGGGCCTCAAGGGCGAACATCAATTCAGAATAAAGCACTGTGTACCAACAGATGAGAGCCTGGCTCTGGTCCTCACTCCCGTGGTCTCTGTTGGCTTACTCAGCTGCTTTCACATTCCAGTATCCAGCAGAGGAATTCAACCCCAGAGCACTTTGGAACACTTCATTGTTGGACAGAAATACGGTCTGCCCTAGGGATGTGCTTCCAACGCTGAGAGTGAAGTCTCAGCATTTAAGCAGTGGGAAAGGCTCTACTGGACAGCCACTGTGTCTTTGGATTGAGGAAAGCAAAAAGGATGGGGGAAGGGAGGCTTTGGTTGTCCCAGTACTGCTTTAGTTTCTTTAAAAAGAAGCCTCCTAAAACAAATGTAGTAGAATAGTCGTATTCTTTTTTTTTTAAAGAATTATTTTATTGAATTTCATTTTATTCATGTATTTATTTTGATTTGACCAGAGAGGGACAGAGTGAGAGAAAGAGAGAAAAAGAAAGGGAAAGTGAGAAAGCAAGCTGCCGGGTCCAGGACTCGAACCACAGTTGGTCATGTGGGAGTCCAGCGCCCTTAACCACCACGCCACCTGCCGACCCCCAGAATGGTAGTATTCTAATATATTAAATCTGGGTGATAAGGCTCATGGGTGGGTATGTGCTGTATTCTCTGAGCTTCGTGTGTGCGTGGTAGTTCATAATTAACCATGTGAAAATGAAACCTGAGCTTAGGATTTAGTGCTAGGTTGTAGACTAATGATCTTCCTAGCAGGGAACCTGCATGTGATCTAACCCAGGGCCAGGGTGGGTCTGTGCTCCACACAGTACATACCCAAGCCTCCTGGGATCCTCTGGGATCATGTACTTTGCTTTTTTCTCTTAAAGAAAAAAAGTAAAGCTGCACGTTTTAAAGTGCTTATTTTGTCTGGTGTTTTCCTGATACAGAGGCTCGTGACAGGTGTTATAGTGCTATTGTGTCTCCCCAGAATGAAGAGGGGGCTGTAGGGGTCTGGGTGGGTTTGTATCATCATTAATCATTATTTAAGTTGCATGACCCAAACTCTTCAGCATGCAAATGAGACCTTTTGCTCTGTTTTAAGGGCTCTGGAACTGCTGGGAAAACAGGGAGTTTAGGAAAAAAACCTGGTAAGTTACAAACCCTGATGCTTCTTTTTCAATGTTTTGAATGTAATTGATAGTTGCTCCCCATCTGTGTTTATTAAGACCAGAAGCCTAAAATAAAGACGAAAGGATCTCCCCTCAGAGTGGTTGGAGGTCCTTTGCTTCGAATTCATTAATAACCTCCACATGCTTATGAGATTCGACTGTTGCTTCGCATGGGGAACAGGGACATCATCGGACAGAATGTGTTCCTGGGTTGTGAAGAAATAATTCAGGCAAGATAGTGGGAAATTTCAGTGTAGGGAGCTGCAGGATTGTGGTGTTAGCTGCTGCTTTGTCATTTCATGGGCTCAGGAAGCCCTTTTTTGTTTCCTGACAACGTGCTAATCCTCAGGACACAAGCAGTGGGAGGAGATGAGAGGAGCAACAGATATTATCAGAGTTTAGGTCCCATTAATTTAGAATCTACCAGGTGCTTTACCTCAGGTACACATAGAAAAGGTACAAAGTTATAGCCATGCCTCTGAATATAAAGCGTTTTAGTTTCTTTCGATGAAATCACATGCCCTATAAATAGTAGCATGAAGAGAGACGACGGCAGTGGGTGCAAAATGATATGGTTTGTGTGGCACGTCTTCCTGGTCTAGGTCACTTGAGCTGTTTGCATCACATAATCTTAGGAAATTATAGGTTGAAACAGTTGCTGTTACACTCAGAGAGAGAGTCGTGTCTGTCGGGTGCCCGGCTCCACATGGGCTGCCATGGCAAGGAATAGGGGCGTTTTAGGTTGTCTGGGATTTTAGTCAGACTTCAGGCATCAGACCACCTGGTCAGATCTCTGCTTGCCCTGTGAGTCTTCTATTTTGAACAACTGTCATTCCAGAAGGTCCAGATATTTCCTTTGTGATTTCTGGGGAGCTTCACTTCACAATGAAACTAGCAAGCTGCTTAGGGACACAGAAGACAGTAAAGAATGTTGGGAAAGATCTCTGGCTATGTATGCCAGATCCTTTGAGGAGCAAGAACATCTGGTGCCAAATAGGACACTCATTGGAACTCTTCCCAAACTAAAATTCTTGGAATCTAGAGCTAGTCCTTGGCGTGTTAGAGGAATACCCTTGACCTAGGATAGATTTCCCAGCCGGAACTCCAGGTCAGAGACAAGGTAGATGTAAGCCAGACCCTAGGCCTTCTTGCTACCCTGAGCTCTCAGAAGAGCTTGCACCAGGTGCAAGGTGATAGGGGCTTGCTAAAGTCTGGGATCTCGCTTGTCCCCCTGAGTTAGTAGAAAAACTGGCAGTACAGTAGGCGATAATCCTGTTAGAGCATGGGGTCCTAAGACCTCCTTCCTTCCCCTCATTCTTTCCTTCCCCTCATTGTTTCCTTCCTTCCTTTCTGGACATCTTCCCTTTCTTTATTTCACCTGTGTAATGAGGAGAGCGTGTAGAGGAATAGGATGGCTTGTTCTGTATTGCTTCTAGAAGTTCAGAAAGCAGTCACCGCAGATGTGCCCGAATGCACTCAGAGAAGGATCCTGTCTTTATTCTCCACCTCCCGTGCAAGTAGAAACACACTTGCCAGACCTTAGTCTGTGGTACTGCTGGAATTTTTCCCGTGGGATTTTGAACATTCAAGAAAAGTACAGAACTGTTTATTTACATTTTTCTCTGTTCTGAATTGTTGTTTTTGCATAAATTCCTTTCTTAACTCCAGGTTCCTCCTTTAAGGTAAAATCAATCATGACACTGCTATGATTCATACCCGGTATTTAGGATTACTCTCAAAATGAAATTCCTAAGAAAGATGGTCCGTTGGCAGAAGTCAGAATCTGAAACAGCAACATATGTGGGGTCTTCAGAAGTACAAAAAAAAGGTGTATTATGAAAAAGCTGCATGGATTTCAGTATTTTTTTTGTACCAAAATAAACTCATACTTTAATTCCATTTTGTACAAACTTTTTGAAGTCCCTTTGCATAAATGAGCTCTACCACCAGGCACCCCATGGTTTCTGAGGAAGACAGAATTTCTCTTTCTACCACACTTAGCAGATGAAAAGCTTCCCGTGATATCCTTTATTCACTTAACCGTTGTTGAGTGTTACTGTGCTGGGGGGTGAGAAGAGATGAATGGAACCCAGACCTCGCACAGGGTGTTGATGGTAATTGAGGGAAGGGCTGTGCCAGTAGGTGCAATGGCGGGACAAGGAGGTAGACTTCGTGGAGGGAGTTGGTAAGTAAATTCTAAGGGATGAGGAAGGCATCCAGTAGCAGATCAGACAGAACAGAAATATCACCAAGACCTTGAGTACCGTCTAGGAACCAAGGCCAGTCAGTGAGCTTAGCTATGGAGTAGAAAGTCGGCCCAATGCAGTAGTTTCAGTGCTACTGATCCATGAACCTGGGAGGTGGCTGTGTCTTAGAATTTCCTACTGATTGTAACAGTGCATGCAATGTTTGATCTTGTTTTTCAGAAATTGCTCAGGTTATTGCCTCATATACTGCTACTGGTCCCGAGCAACTCACTCTGGCCCCCGGGCAGCTGATTTTGATCCGAAAAAAGAACCCAGGAGGATGGTGGGAAGGAGAACTGCAAGTTAGTGTCTTTTCTGTTTAAAATTCTCCATCCAAGTTTGAAAATGAAAAATCTCAAAGGAGTGCTATCTCTCTGCAGTGTATAAGTAATTCTTCACTGTCTAAACCTTCTATTTGGATAGTGAGAAATACCACTGACTATCTGAATCTGGTTGGGTCCAAAGCTTCAGGCAGCCCATAGCAAAATCCTGAGTGTGATGACATATCTGAAAATGTATCTGTTCAGGGGACCAGCAGTTAGCGTAATGGCTATGTTGCTGAATTCCCACGTAATCGACCGCAGTTCGAGTCCCAAACCTGGTGGCTTAAACTTACGCCGGGCACCTGTGCATGCATGCCCAAGATCCCGAGAGGATAATAGAGAAGAAGGGATTGCAGCATGACCATCCACCCTGGGGGGTGATTTCTCGCTTTCTGTCTCTCTCTGTCTTTCTGGCGAGCACACATACCCTATAACAAGAAACCTCTCCCAAAAGCAGGGGGAAAAAAGTATCTGTTCAGTTCCTGAGTTCAGTTAGTGGGTATTGAGATAGTGAGAATTCATAAGATGAAGACAGGGATACCCACATACCCACAAGGAGTCATCCGTAAGTGTTATGGCATGTAGAAGTGGAGCTTTCCAACAGTGGTGTATACGGTGTGGTACAATGGCAGGTTTCTTAGCATTCCAAGCCACAATATATACCTCACAGTATTTTTAGTTCCCATGTGTGTGTGTGTTGTTACTCATGTAATTTTGATATTCATTTTGTTGTTCTGCATACCTCTTTTAAGTCTCATTTCCAGAGATACTTTTAGAAAGGTTACTCTTGGGGACTGCAGGTAGCATAGAAGTTAAGGCACTGGATTCTACATGGTGGACTTTGAGGTTCGAGTCACAGACCCAGTGACTCGAAAATCGGGCTGGGTGTGTGTGCTGTGTGCCCAACATCCCAAGAGGAGAATGGAGGAGAAGGGAACTGTGGAATGGCCATCCCCCCTTGGGGGCGATTTCTCTCTCTCTCTCTCTCTCTCTTTCTCTCTCTGTCTCTAATGAGCACACTATAGCAAAGACTTGGAAAAAAATTGTTAAAGGTTACTCTTAATATATAATCATCATGATAAAGATTCTTAGAATCATTGGATGCCAAATCTAAGGGGAAATTTTAAATAGGAACAAAAAATGTCTGTGGTCTTAAAAGCGACTCCTCACAGATGATTTATTCACAGATGATATTATAGTAAATTATACAGTGGAGAATTAAAGTGACACATCAATCGGGATCAAAATTATTATGACCAGTTGGAACACATGGATATTATATGTGTCAGTTACATACAGTGTCACTTATATACAGTTCTGGCCAGAAGTGCATAGCCTGAATCCATACATGAGGCAACATTAGGTCAACCCAGAATGAGGAATGTCTGATTAAAAGGGGTAGTGGCAGGGCTGGCAGGTGGCATAGACTCCCACATGGCTGACCACAGTTTGAGTCCCAGACCTGGTGGCTTGCTCTTTCTTCTCCACCCCCGTGTGTGTCTTGCTATGGTCAAATTAAAAATAACTATAGTAATGAATAAAATAAAGGAAATAATTATTTTTTAAGAGAGATTTGTGTTATATGGCACATATGCTTGCCAGAGAGACAGAAAGTGAGAAATCACCCTCTATGGAGGATGGCCATACCACAGTCCCTTCTCCTCTATTCTCTTTAGGATCTTGAGCATGCATACACTTGAGCCTGGCATGACGTTTAAGCCACTGAGTCCAGGACTTGAACTGTAGTCAACTGCATGGGAGCCCAGCGATGTCCATTACACTATCTGCTAGTCCCGGAAATAATTCTTTAAAAAAAAAGGGGGTGGGGGGATGATGGCAAGGAGTGACTACTCTTTTAAAACATCATTATCATAAAGGACACAGTCTAAACAGAGAGGGCAAGAGATCTGACAGCTAATCCTGGTACCTGGTTCTGTATGGGATCCTGTGAGCAAGGCAAGCATGCTCTGAGGACCTTGCTGGGATCATTGGAAAAGCTGGTTTCAGGACACTAGAATAGATGAAATGATTTTTGTGAATTTACTAAAGTTGGGGCCAGCTCTGTGGTCTAGTGATTAAGGGAACCAGGCCCTTACGATTGACCACACAGTTTGAATCCCAGCCCTGGTGGTTTGAAAAATGCACCAGGCTTATGTGCGTGCTCCTGTGTGCCCAAAATTCCAATGGAGTGGAGAAATGGAAAAGAGGTTATGCCTGGCTGTGCCCCCTGAGGGGTGCTTTCTCCCGCTCTCTTTCTGTCACTCTAGAAGCACAAACACCTCTAAGAAATACATCTAAAAAAAAAAATGGACTCAGGTTGATAACTACTATGGTTATGTCAGTGTATATTTCTATGTTTAGGAAACCCATTGAAATATTTAAGGCTAATGAACCGTGATGCAGGGGTAACGAGCCAGGTAACTTATAATCAAATGGTTCAGAAAAAGAAATAACAGAGCAAGGAGGGAAGGAGAGAATATATGAATGATAAAGCAAATGGGGTAAGCTGTTCACTTCAGGGTAAGGTGAAGACCATAGGGAAATCCAGGCCAAGGGTGTATGGGTATTCTGTGTATTTTTCTTATACTTGCCACTTTTCTATAAGTTTGGGACCATTTCTAATTGGTTTGAAAAATTACTACTATAGCACTTACTTGATAGGGAAGCCAACTGACCCTTAAACAGAAAGCAGGTCTCCCTCCTACTCCATAACCTAGAGGAGCTTGCAAGAACTGTTGGGTGTCCTTCGTGTTCCCAAAGACGACTTCTCAGATGAGCCAACTTGTACTTGGCCACAAGAAGGACCATGTGGTGGTTAGAAAAGTCCAAGATGGTGGAGGGAGGCCAGCAGAGTTTGCTGTGTGGTTGCCAACCAGGGCAGACAGAGCCTTGAATGCCGAAGAACAGAGTCTCGGAAGTGTGTAGGCAGGGCCTCGATCCTCGGGAAGGAAGAGGAAGCGCAGGGCTGGGCTCCAGTGACCATGCCTGCTGCTCACCTTGGGCAGGAGGGGAAGATCCGTGCATTTTGGGCAGTAAAATATACAGTACCTTTTTAAAAATTATTTATTTTAATGTTATTTATTCATTCATTTAATTTAATTTGACCAGAGAGAGATACAGAGAGAAAAAGGGAAAATGAGAAAGAGCAAGCCACCAGGTCTGGCCATGTGGGAATGTTTAGCACCTTAACCACCACGCCACCTGCTGGCCCCCATACAGTACCTTCCTGGGCTAAGGAAATGTGTCTTGGCTAGAATAGGAGTCACAGCCCAGAATGTAGCTAAAGAAGAAACTGCCTCCGGGAGCTCACAGGTGGCAGCCATCAAAACCCTGCCCAGAGTGCTAGCCACCAGCCCTGCTTACTGGATCAGGGATCTGACCTTGGAGTGCTGGAAATCCACCCCTTCTATTAATATGTCTGCTCTTGTGCTGGGCAGGAGAGGGCTCCCTGAAAGCAGCAGGTGCCCTCCCCGTGTAGAATTGCGCCCTCGTTACCCCCTTGGCCTCTGCTCTCACATCCTGTCCTTCCGAAACCATTGGGTGCCTCCCAGAGTCCTTCCTCCTCGGCCTGCCTGGGCTAGCCTGGCCTCCTGTCACCTCACCCCCCATTTCCCTTCCCTTGGTACCACTCTGGTGACACCTCTGCCTAGTGTCGAAGCAGCCGCTCCCCTGGGCATTCAGACCTTGTGGCTTTTGCTCATGACGTTCCTCCCAGGGCCTGACTCCCACATCTTCTCAAGAGCTGGCCAGATCCCACACCTTCCTGAAGCTTTCTGTGAGCCTCCTAGCCAGAAGCACCATCTCCTTCCCTGCACCACAGAGGGGGCGCCAGGCCTGCACTGCTCTTTGGTATTTCACTGTCTGCGCTGACATTGCCTCGGAGCTCTCCATGCATGTTTCTCGTTTCCACAGATGGATGGCGGGCACCTTGAAAGGAGTAGCCATATTTTTGAGCCTTCGTGCTCTCAGCGCCTTACTCAGGAGTCTCAATGGTCCTTGGAATCCTCAATTACATGGGTGAGGGAGCCACTTTGCCAGGGCTACTTTCCAGTCCTTTAGCCAGAGCGGCTGTCAGCGTGAGCACACATATGAAGAAAGTCCTACTGAGCTCTGTGTTCTACCCTTGTAAAACTGCAGAGGGGGAGTGCAGTCAGCGGAGCCAAATGCAGCACACTAGACAGAGAGAGAGGGAGAGAGAGGGAGAGGAGAGAGCTCAGCAACAGATGGTGCGATCCCTGAGGTTCACTGAGAATAGAGCCAAGGGCATGAAGTCTTTCAGGCCGCAAGGAAAGCGCACTTGATCTGGGTTCTGAAAGCAACCCAGATGTATCCTTAGACAGTCAGCTGGTGGGAGGGCAGAGTAAGGCAGTGGACATTTTCTTTTTTTCTCATTTTATTTCTGTATTTTTGGAAATAGATCATATAATCACATGATTTAAAATGCAAAAGTTACAAAAGGGGATATAAATGCCTCCTTCCCTTCACTGTCCCCAAAGGCAATTGTTTTTATCAGAACCTTGGGTTTTCTCTTTGTTTTCCTTAATTTGCTTAAGAGCACTCATACTCCATCTAGAGAGATAGAGAGAAAGAGACAGGGAAATCGAGAAAGAGCACCCCCATGGGGCATGGCCGTGTCACATATCTCCCTCCTTTCGGGATTTTGGGCTCACATGCACATGCTCCTGGCTTGAGCTCCAGGGTCCAGAACTCAGATCATGAGGTCAGCCATGTGGAATCCAGCCACCTTCACCACCATGCCTCAGGCTGGCATCAGCCTGTTCTAGATACAGTGTATACGTATGTGTGTATGTGAATGTGCATGCATGCTTGTATATGTGCACATTGTTGGAGTTCTTTTTTCCTGGCGGTATGCAGACGAGTGGTTATAGTCCCTCTTACAGCTCCTGACGGGAGTATTTCATGGAATAGTGTCATAATTACAAGTCTTGCCTCACCAACTTTATTCTGAACTCCTGGGTCACACTCTCCCTTTCCAGTAACGCCTGGCATGTAATCACTCCGTAGATGGATCTTGTGTTGAATCAGTTTGAAGGAAAGGAGAAAGGAAGGGCAGTGGGGAAGGTGACATCGGTAAGCAAAGGGAGCTAGGAGCAGTCCTAAATCTGGATGTAGTGTTGGCATTGACTCACCTCTGCATTACCTGAATAATGAAGCTGAGTGCCAGCATAACGTGGGCAGAGTTTCCTGTCCTCAGCACACTGCAGTATAATTTGAATTTGCAATACACAAAATCCAGCCCAGGCTGTGCTGACCAGCAATGACCGCAATTTGAATTTCAGCCACAGTGTTTTGTTTTTGTGGCACAGTAATTTATAGATACTGTTAATTTTGCATTGGTGCTCTGGTACAGAGCAAATCGTATCATAAGAGAACGTGAACCTTGAAAAATTGGTGATACAATTTCTTCTCATTAGGCACGTGGGAAAAAGCGCCAGATAGGCTGGTTCCCAGCTAATTATGTAAAACTTCTCAGCCCTGGGACAAGCAAAATCACCCCTACGGACCCACCTAAGTCAACGGCGTTACCAGCAGGTAAGGAGTTGGCAATCTCTTACTGGAAAATGTCTGCGTGTCACTTCCATTTTTCCACTCAGTTTTTTTATTAAGTGTCTCAGATGGTTTTTAACATGGGCTGTAAGCACTTCTTGTCCTTGCTGAGGCTGACACCCAACTACTATGATATGGAATATGTTTTTCAAAGGGACCAAAGATCTGACGAGCTTTACTGTGCGAGTACAAGAGAGCCCCTGTTGAATCTCTTCCTAAGGGAGTCATGAATGCTGGAGCATTAAAGCCGGATTTTTCTCTTGATTTCCTTCCAGCTATTTAAATTGGGATTCGGGCTGTGGATAAGGGACAGAAAGGGGCTCCTAAAAATAAATGGCTGGGCCCTAAATAGGTCAGGAGATTGTGCTGGAGGCCACGGGGTCTAGGCGTTGTTATGTGGTATTCACCGAGGACTGAAATAACTCTTCTGTGACATTTACTACAGAGGGGGCTTTGCTCAATGGGCAGGATGTTGTACACAATTTTCTAAAGGACTGAGAAAGAACAGAGCACTGCATTTGACCCAGCTGCGTATTTTCCAATGGAATGGGCCATGTTAGATACTTCAATAATAGTTGCAAGAGGTGAGGTTAGGGAAGTCAGTTTTTGCTTTAGATCTTTAAGCCACCAGTTCTTGGGTGGCATTTGTGGAAAATGTGGAGTTTTCGTACTAGTAACTTTGAGTGTTGGTGCTATACGTTCCCTGGTGAAATAAGATGAAAATGTGGCAGCCTTTGCAAGAAATTAAAGGACTGGCAAACTTTGTGACTGGATCCTGTCCCCAGCTGGGCCTCTTGCTTGAACTAAGGAACTATGGCGTCATGTAGGCAAAGGAGTGTGGGCGCAACCGGGTCTGCTGTCCCCTGGGGGACCTAGTAGCATCTGCCCCATTGTCATTTTCCAAACCCTTTGTCAGGTTGGTTGAAACCCAGTGAAATAATTTGGTGAAGCTATTGGATTAACTAGAGAAACCTAAACGGGGAGAGGGGGCAGTAGGGCGGTTGGTTAATAAAGATTACCTGAGGATTGTGACCTATCTGAACTAGAGATGCCAGAGAATGAAAACAATTTTACCTCTTATGGGTTCGAGAGAAAACAAAAGAAGAAAATTGTTCTTGAGTGTGGAAATTTCTTTGAGCCAAAATTTTGAGATGTAAAGAGACAGCAAAATAATCTTTTAAAACACTGGTTTTGCTTTTCACTGAGATTTGGAATTTTTGGAGGTCAGATGATCATTTCTTTCCGCCTTGAGAAAAAAAAAGGATATGCAGCTGTCCTGTGCAGAAGATGGGGGGGCTGTCGGGCCAGCCTCCGCAAAGTTCACTTTTTAAAAGGGATTCCACTAGACATGAAGTTATTACTGTCAATTTTCTGCTGACAAATAAACATGAAAAAGGGGAAGATATTATAAAAACTGAAGACTTAGCATGAAAATATTGCTGTTGTCTTAGTTTTTAATCTTTCATCTTCCTCTATTGCCCACACTATAGAAAGCCCATTCAAGCGCTTCCACTTAATTTTATCCTCATCTGAAAGGACAAATATAACACATGACCATGGCTAATGGCCATGAGTCCCCCATGCACATACTGTGGCTCACCCAGCCCTGTCTCCTGCAGTGTGCCAGGTGATCGGGATGTACGATTACACCGCACAGAATGACGACGAGCTGGCCTTCAACAAGGGCCAGATCATCAACGTCCTCAACAAGGAGGACCCCGACTGGTGGAAAGGAGAAGTCAATGGACAAGTGGGGCTCTTCCCATCCAATTACGTGAAGCTGACCACAGACATGGACCCAAGCCAGCAATGTAAGTGCCCTGGTGGCCCTGTTGCCTCTCTTCTCTGGTACCTTCCAGTAAAACATGCAGCATTGCTCTGATTCTGCTGAGCTTTGTTTGCAGAACTTAAAGCTAGACCATTGCTGCATTTGCAACAGTCTCTTTGAAGACCTTCTGTAATGCAAGACTATCTCATGGGGTGTTTTTTTGTTGTTTTTTGTTTTTTTTTTCCTTTTTAAAATTTTCATTCCTTCTGTAGCATGTCCCCTTCCTCTCCTCTCCCCTTTTTCCTTATTTTTTTTTTTTCAAAAATCATTTTGGCACCATGCTGTTTACATGCCTGACTCATTTTCCTAGCTTGAATTTTGCTCATTGTTTTGTTTTGCTTATATGTTGTTTTCCTCCTTTTTCTAGGAATCATATGTTGTCCATCCCCCCCTCAGGCTTGAAAGTCCTCAAAGAGACCCACTATCCCATATCACTGCCCAGAGGGATGATGGGAGATGCAGCCTTGATCATGTGACTTCCAGCATGATCACCTACTGCCTTCTGAGTAGAAGAACTCACTGCAGAGCAGTTTACCTCATTTTACCTTAGTTGCATGTGATCGCAATGTTTGAGTTATTACTTGCAGAGATAGAAGCAAAATTACAAAAATACACAGGGTAGTGGGTCCTTTTGTGGCTTTCCTAGTTATTCGATTGACTTCCCCCCACCTTTACACAGGTGCTTTCGATAGTTTTAAAATTATTTTTAAATATCTATTTTCGTCTTTAATGAAAAAAATTAATTACTTCTTTGCTATTTGGTTTTGCAAAAAGACCCACTATCAAGGAATGCTGCATGTGCTATTAAAATTGTTCCAAATGTCCATAAATCTGAGACTTGATGTATTTTTTTTTCACTTTGTCCAGTGTTACCAACTAAATTGTGTAGTTTGGGGTTTTCTCCCCCTCCAGTAGAAGTACAGAGGTGTTCGAGTATATCTGTTTTAAAGACGTGTAGAATGAGCCTGATTAAACTGAAGGTGTTTCGTGCTTGTCTGTGTGTATCAGTTGTACCTTGCTGAGCATGTAATACATCCTGTACATAAGACATCAGTTCTTCCCATGGCAAAAGCTCTGACCTTGTACGATGCTCCAGTCATACTGCATTCATTTTATTTTGCACAGTGACCTTGTAGCTACATGAGAAAGCACCTGTGTTTTTGTTCAGTCTCAGATTTATCTGGTTGAGTTGGTGTTTTGTTTTGGGTTTTTAATTTCGTGTGTTTTCATACCATAAATCAATAGACAACACCATTGAGGTTGTTATCATCGACAATATCTACAGTCTCTTTTTAGTCTCTGTTACATGAAGTTTTATTCCAGTTACTTTTCATGGAATGACCTATTTTGAACAAGTAATTTTCTTGACAAGAAAGAATGTATAGAAGTCTCCCTGCAATTAATTTCCAATGTTTACATTTTTTAACTAGACTGTGGAATTCCTACAGATTAATATGAAATGGAGCTCATGGTCCGTTGATGTGTTAGATGTGCTGTAGCCGAAGCCATGTTTGTCTTAAACACTAGTTGGAAGCTCTCAATAAAAATGCCCATTGCTGGTGGCACAGAAAACGGGGTGGGGATGCCCCAAGCACAATTGCGCTGTCCGACTAATGACTTTGTAACAGGTAGCTCCTTCCGCCTTCCGTCTCTCTCGGGAGGCTCTGTGCCGGCGGCTGCACAGAGATCTCCTCCACTCACATGGCGCAGAGAGCGAGGACTGCTCCTCCTCGTTCACTTGTGCTTCAGTATTTTCATGGACATGAATGTAAAATATATAAATATATAAACCTGCGGCTTTAACAACTGTAATACAACCTTTTGAATTAGTTACATGTATAGATTATTAAATCTTCCTATAAAAGTTAGACGGCAATGTCTGTGTGTTCTTGATGTTGGAACCTGGCAGTGGTGATGGGGAACCAGACTAGAGGTCAACAGCTGGCCACGCATGGACTCTGCTGTGCTCTGAAATGCAGATGTGGTCAGACTGTCACTGAGTCATCGCTGAACTCTGTCCCCTCTCCCCTACCCTGCTACCGTCCCTCTCCTGATCAACATGATTGCTCTTTATATTATGGGATTTTTAAGAACAGAACTCTTCCCACCCAGTTTAGTGGGTAACATGCTCATCTGAGCTTTTATTATGTGTCGTTGATAGTGGCAGGTATGCAATTTGGCAAAACATTTGTCCAAAAAATGTATCATCATGAGTGACTGATAACACCCAAAAAACATGTGGGTGAGGGTGAAAACTTGCACATCTACTTTATTGTTGTTTGGGATCCCCTTGTGCCTGGCACCCTCCGGTCTTGTTGCCTTAGCAGAAATAAACCAGCACACACACTGATGAACCCGTTCGCCACAACAACCACATGCTTGATTCCATCTTCATGAACTTCACTTATTGGGCCTCCCCTGGCATTCGGTTGAAAAAATGATTTCCTTTGTCAGTTCAGCAAGTATTTCTGGGGAAACATCTACCATGTGTTGGGTGCCCTGCTGGATTCTGGGGAGAGTATACCTGTCTCTGTGGACTTCATGATCTATCGGGAGGTACAGCAGAAAGCCAAGCTCTTGCAGTCCATGTAAGTCTCTATGGTATGCGTGTGATTGGGTGATGAGTCCTGCGCTAGGAGCAGTGTGAATACGAGGCACCGCGGAGCAGGCCATCTGGAGCGGGTGGGTGGAGCTGGCAGCTGCAGGGAGACATCCGAAGACCCTTCCAGGAGGAAATGATACTTAAGCTGAGACTTAAACTGTAAGGAGGAGCCAGGCGAAGCAGGGAGAAGTGGCGATTTGAGGCCAATATACGCCCTAGGTGGACAGAGTGGAGATTCTTCTCTCTGTCCCCAACCCATCCTCTTGTGGAGCTACGGTCAAGACAGCAGATCCCATCTGCTTCCTGGGGCCCCTCACCCTTCTAAGCCAGTGGTGCTTCTCCAGTCTTGAGTTTGTCTGGAAGGGATACAATTGTCCAGGTGGGTAGTACCATCTTAATACTCTATAGCTCACTCTCTCCAATACCCTGTCCAAAGATTACGCCTCCATACTTTCTTCTGGGTTTGTGAAACTGACACAGGTTGCTCCCCAGGAACCTGCCTTTTCCCCTCACAGTCATTCCGTTTGCATTTGACTGCAGCATATCCACCTGACCCAATAGTTCTCCACCAGAGGGGGTGCTATTGGCATCTAACAGGCAGAGCCTGGGGGTGCTACTCAACCTCCTACCATGCCAGGGGGTGTCCAGCCCCCTCCCCTGACAGAGGATGGATGTGACCAGAGAAGAGATTGAGAAACCCTGTTCTCAGCCCACTGGCCACTCTGGTGGCTACTGGGGCTTCCCTGATAAATACTGTAGGGTAAATTTTATCATTTAATCTTATATCGTATATCTGCAGCATAAAAACCTTGGCTTTCTAGTTCATGCCTTGTTCCAGCTCCAGTCCCAGCCAGCCGCCTAAATCACAGGTGTGTGTGCACACACCTGGCGTGCTCAGTCCTAAGACTCAAACCCAAGACCTTTCCGTATCGGTCCAGTTTTGTTATTGCTGTGCCGACCTAGTCCCTGGTTTTATATTTCAAAATCTTGTTATTCCCCCCTATACTCTGTACTTCGGTGGTAGATTAAACTACTGAAGTCATATTCTCAGAAGAGAATCTGGTTAATAAAAGGAAAGAAAGCATTTTATTTCTAATTAAATTCATGAGAGGATACTAGGTATCTTCTTTGGCTTCGTAGATTAAAGGCACCAGGTTTTGTTTTGATCTACTCGTTAAACAAAAACAACTGATCATTATATCATGAAAGTTCGTGTTGGCCTGAGTGATATATCTGCACCTGATCCTAGGGTGCAGTTTCGCATCACTGGTATTAGGCAAGAAGAGTGCAAGAGAGTGATGCCCTTCTGCATCACTGTCCCAAGGCTGCGGTCTCTGCATGGTGCAAACAAGCATGCAGAGCTGAGGACCCTCGAGACTGGGGCTCCCCAAGTCATGGCCCATGTCCCAGACTGCCTCTGCATAAAAGGGCACCTGGGAGAAGCTGAGCTAAAGCCAGTACCCATCCCTTTGTAGGTTATAAGATATTAGATCATTATGTGTGCCCTGGCATCTGGTGGCTGCTGTTTCTGGAAGGGAGCTCTGGCAGACCCAAGCGCCATATTAGATGGTGATTGGATTGTCTGTGCTTCCTTTAATACCATCAGGAAAAACCTGGTAACCTTAGCTTAAGAAATCCCTCTAAAAAGTTGCTTTAACTATATCGAATTGCCCGTATAAAAATTTTTATAGATTTCTTACTTATAAAAGTAGCAATTTCACATGATGCAGCCTAAAACTATGTATCATCACCTGGGATGTGCTAGCTCAGGTGCTCAGAAATGCCTGTCAAGTGGGCGCACTGATGAACTGATGACTGGGTAGGATGGCCAGAATCTAAGTTCTCGACATACCCCAGCTCAGCCTCGGGTTGGAAACCGACATGTCTGCAGTTTCCTTTCCTTTCATACGTGAGCCTCCTTGAAGCAACAGTATCTTCAGGAGGGACTACGGGAGAAGATTCATGCACATGTGAGCTAAGGAGGCTGAGGGCCCTGGACCGTAACCTGGGCCCTGTCTCACTCCAGCATGGGGTGGGGAAAGCACTGGGGGATGGGCAAGTCCCAATCACCCTGCTTCCTGGAAAACTTAAAATCATTTCTGAGAGGCAGTAATTATTTTTCTTCTAACAAAATTATAAATTAATCCATTCTGTTTAGTTCCAAAAATACCCAAGAGAACTTTTACTGACTCTATCAAAGTTGAATGCCATTGATTCCCAAGATGCAAGGTAGATGGCCCCTTCTTCAAAGTGCCTGGTGTTTTGCACCTGGTAGACTCGGGAGACATGACAGGGCCAGCGAGCACAGTAGCCCGGTGCGAACGTTTCACCTCAGCCACAGGGCTCTTGGTTTCTTCTTTAAGGAAACCCCACCTATGAAA